CATTCCGCCCTAAGCAGCTCAGTGCCTGCTCATGCTAAAATCTAACTCTGAATGTGGCCTGATATCATTTAGTATTTGTGAACACCATGTAACAAAAAACATGTGACAAACTGAAGAATGATTCTGTTGATAAACACTTAAAGATATAGGCCAGGCATGGTGGCATATGCCTTTAATCCCAGCACTTGGGGGGCAGAGGCAGGCGGATCTCTGTGAGTTCAAGGCCAGCCTGTTCTACATAGTGAGTTCCAGGACAGCTGGTGCTACAGGGAGACCCTGTCTCAAAGACAAAAAAAAAAACTTATTAAAGATATCAACACCCTGGTATTCTCTTAATCAAAAGACACCTAGACAAAGTATATAATCAACACTTGATCTCACTTCAGAACCCAGAAGGGAAATGAAGGTAGGAACATAAGCAACTTCGAACCACAGCAATACACATTTCAGTGACCAAGCACATGAAACAAATACTATACGCAAGAAGCCAAACCATACTATGTGGGTTGTTTTCATTCCCTAGGTTTCTAATGACCTTGGGACTTTAAAACAAAGAGGAAAAACTAGTTGACATATTCTAAAGTTCAGTGTTTTACATATAAAATGGGTCAGCAAATCTAATTTTATGTTTAAAGAAAACTGTAGTGATAAATGAATAGCAGGCCCCAATCTTATCCAAAGGAATATTGACAACTGATTACTGCTAGATGAGGAACAGCTGACCCTCCTAAAAAAAAAAAAGTCCTCTAGATAGGCTGACAAGATTCACCAGAAGGGCAAGTAGTGCGGAATGGCTGGGGGTGCCGACAACACAGCAGACAGTAGCAGGGATATCAGAGTATAAGGGCTCTAGTTGGAGGAGGGAGGCTATGCGAGGGTGCTATCTGGGAAGTGGGTGTAAAAAAAATTAATTAAAAAAAATTCTTCAAAGCATAAAAATTTGATCCTTAATAATTAGTAAATGTGAAAAACATTACCATTGAAATCTACCTCACTACTCTGTATCCATGCTCAGATGCCAAGTAGGGACCAACAGACTCCTGATGGGAGCACAGCAGTCCTGCCTTGCAGGAACTCAAGGTAACTCTGGCCTGCCAAATGCAGTGAAAAATCTTGTAAACAAAAGCAAATGAAGCAGACCCCACAGCAGTTTCTTGGCTCTATTAAAAACAAACAAAATGCTCACCAGTTAAAACCTTTTGATTTGCTTCAATTCACATAACTTCATTTTCCACAGGGGGAGAAAAATAGGATCTAAATTATTGTACTGGCTAATGTTTTTCTTTCACAAGCAACTACTTCCAAACAATCTACCTTAATAACAATTCACTTTTTGTTCCTTTGCAGTATCTATCACAGAAAGTTATGCACTTGGCCTCTAGGCTTTACAAAAACACAATAATAGAAAATATCCTCAAACATCAGATTCCTCAGCAAAACATTAAAGGGTAGGAATGAGAAATCAAGTCACTGGTTGCAAAGCCTTCGGAGGGGGGAGGCCTTTAGAAGAGCTTCACTGCATGCCCAGCCTGGCCTTCAACTTAGATCCCCTTACCTCAGCCTCCCAAACACTAGGCTAATTCTAATTCTTGATTTAATTATATCTGGCTATGCAAACAAACATGGTGAAAAGCTATTTGTAGCTTCCACTTGAAATTGAGGCATGACAACACTGCCATACCCATGGATATAGATGTATACAGACGATTTTCTTTTTTTTTTTTTCTCTCTTTTTTTTTTGGTCTTTTTGAGACAGGGTCTCCCTGTAGCCCCAGCTGTCCTGGAACTCACTATGTAGACTAGGCTGGCCTCTAACTCACAAAGATCTGCCTGCCTCTGCCTCACAAGTGCTGCGATTAAAGGCGTGCGCCACCACACCTGGCACGGACGATTTTCTTATGAATGTTATTCTATGTACTTTGTTTCTCAGTAAACCTTTCACTATGCAAATACTTATGTCCTGTTTCGGATAATGAGTATCTGCTTCTATGTAACTCTGAGAGGAAGGTCTCTACCTGACTCTACACGTGAAAAACATCAGTCAACGGGTCTCAAATGGGAAATGGCATCATCTCCATGGAGGGCCTAGGAAAATAGGTGAAGTGGTTTTTTTTACTTTTCTTTCTTAATTGTCACTAGGGACACTGACTGGCAGTTATAGACCAAATGCTGCTAAATAAATTGTAATTACAGGATATTTTTCCATAAATGAATGTCAATCTACACTTATTCCAAAGTGTGTTAACAAACTAAACTGGCACCACCTTCCTGTGGATGCAAGATAATAAACTTTTCCTTCCAGTTCACTCTACAATACACAACACTGGTTTAGGTGCCTCCTGTTTGGAGTGCTGCTTCAGTTCCTCCCCCTGCATCTCTCCAAAGTGACTAGTGTTGCTGCTAAAGACTGCCTGGATTATTATCATTACTATTACTATTATGGACAGTCTCATCAGGCGGTCCTTGAACCCACAATTTTTATGCCTCTATCTCCTGAGTGCTGTGCACCACTACACCTGGTTCAGACTTCTGCATTTGCTTAATTCTCTGAATATAATGAAAAGAATCTAAATGATATTTGGACAAGACACACAGCCAGTGACCACAATTTTCCATATTCAAAGAAATGCTCTGGGTTAATCTGCATTTCAGGAACCAGCTTAGTTGGTAGGGTGTTTTCCTAGCATATATGTAGATCAGGCTGGCCTTGAACTCCAGAGATTCGCCTGCCTCTGCTGGGACTACAGGCGTGTGCCACCACGCCCAGCTGGATCATTTTTCTTACAAATATATTTTTTAATTTATTCTTTGGGAATTTCATCAAATTCCTTTTTTAAGGATCAAAATAATATGTGATCTTGTAAGCATTACCCTACAGCAGAAAAACCAACTATCACCATTTCCTATGCTGGGTTAATGACTACTGAAATCAATCTTTTCTCACAAAGATTTCTAAAATCTTCCATTGGTTGTTGGCACTAAAAACAACAAAGTACATCACATATGGCTCGTGAAACTTGAGAAAACAATTTCTCAGAGTCAACTGTTTGTAGGTGCATCAATCCAACACCCCATTGTCAAGAGCACTGCTACTGAACTCTGGGTTTCTGCTGCATTTATCAGGAACCAAGACATCTTCAGATTGACAGTGGTGAAGTGACTGCTCACTATAAGTAAGATGAGCTTGGGTTTCAAAACTCATCCACCACTCTAGTAACTTACACTGCAGCACCCACTTAGAGAGCAGCCAAAGGCAATGCTAACTACTGTTTCTTCCCTGAGAGAAACCAATGTTTAAAAACACAAACACGTGAACAAAGAAACTGAGCAGTACCTGCATTGGGGGGCTCGGGCACCCCCCTTCTCTTTAGTTAATCACAAATTAAACTCTCTCTTCTTCCACTCGGCTTCTTGAGCAGAGCTCTGGTTGTTTCTCTCTTAGGAGTATTTGGTTTGATCCTGATTAAATGTAAGCTTTGCTTCCTTGGCCTTGACAAAATCCTTTTTAAGAAGTCTATTATTTCTAACAAGACCATCTCTGTAATTAGAGGTACTGCTAACCACGTCGCAAATGCAGCTTGCTGATGCTGTCTGTATCATCTTATCCTGAGCATCCTTCCAATGCTATTACCAACCACCCCATCTTGGAGATGAGAAAACTGAGGCAAAGGGCAACCCACAACACTCAAACACAGAAGAATGATGCCTACCTCCGGGGGCACCAATGCTCCAGACTCTTCTAGCGCTACAGCGTGAAGCTGAAAAATGCCCAAGTTATATTTCCTAATGAAAAGCAAATAGCCACCCGTGTCACACAACAATGCAAAGTGCTTGTTCTACCTCAGAATTTGGTGAACTGTGTACCCTCCAAATTATTAGGACTACGGTTTTAGAAATGGAGCCTTGTATTAAATCACTCATCATAATGAGAATCTCACATTAAGCAACATTCATCTAGTCAATAATCAAAATGCTAAGTGTAACACCTTGGGTAAATGCTTAGCTTCCCTCTCATTTTCCCAGCAGTGCTCCCAACAGTGCTATGCTGCCTAACAGCAACATTAAGAACAGCTGCCATTTACTGACTCCCCACGTTGTGTCAGGTGCTGTACATGTTACCTCTAAAGTGAAGGGTATTAGCCTTGTTTCATTTCTGTTTTACACAGGGGAACTGAGGCTTGGAAAAAGACTTTCCTAATACAACTGGTCACACATAGTAGAGTTGGTAAATATGAACCCAAATCTGCCAGACTATAAGCCTGGGCTCTTCCTACTACACAATGAGGGCAGGTTTCAGAGCATTCCCTGAAGAACTGTGGAGGGACAAGGAGACAAACTCAAGCCTTTGCTTCTCCCACACTGTCACCCTAGCACATTCCTGCCAAGTAATGCAGAACTGGTGTATGCTTCTTCAATTTTAATTCCTACAGCACATTCATCCTAAAAAAACTAACAGGCCCAAAATACAAAAATTAAAGGTTTCTATTTTCTAAGTAGCCTAAATATAAAAAGTTCTATGCAACAAATGAATGAATGCTGCTATTAATCAATTTGTTATTAGATCTAAGTTAGTAGTTGACAAGTGGTTTTAGAAATAGTAATGCTACTCTATATACATCAATCCAGTTATATCAGAATGTTAACAGAAAACCCTTAGAATGTTGCCTGCTCCATTAGGGTCAAACTTCTTAAAGACCCACAAAAATCTGTGAAAGCTTAATGCATCTACATTTTTCAAGGTCGTCTAAATTCAAAGCAATCTCTTTGAGGGAAGAAAAAACCCCAGCATTTAAAAATTGTGCTGTAAAGAGAGGAAATGGGCTCGTTTATAACAAAATTGGATGAAACTAGTAGAAAACAAACGAAATTACACCAGAAGGAAGGTACTCTTGGAAAGAGTAACTCAGGTGGTGACATGAGGTGGCAGCATTCTAAGAGTCAGCAGCTACTAAGCCCACACCTATTAGCCAAAGGCGATAGTGAGGGGGAGGGTACAGTACCTGATGATGGGCAGGTCGAGGCCCCGCTGCAAACTGAGAGGAAGGAGAACAAACACAAAAGGAAAGGCACAAAGAGTCAGAAACACGACAAAAACCAAAGTCACAAAATATATAAAAAGAAAGAAACCCACAAGAGGAGGGGGAAAAAAAAAAGCCACACAACACACACACACACACACACACACACACACACACACACACACACACCAATGAAGACCTTACTGCAGGACAGTGACAGACAGGTACCAGGATTCACCAGGCTAGTGCCACTGGCCAGCACTTGGTCATTACCAGCTAGGAGAAAAGCTGCTAAGCTCCAAGCAACTGGCTGCTCTCATAAGGACAGTTTAACCAATAAAACCCTAAAGTAGCGCAAAAGAACACTGGAAACACTAGGTGGCTACATTAACACAAGCATGGAAATGAAATCATGTAGACCACATGAGACTGTAGACTTGGAGGGCATAAGACATGCTTTTAGTAGGGAATTATAATATCCAGGGAATGAATGTCCAGGAACAGACTGCATTTTTCTTTTTTTAAGTTAAATGGGCATCTGATACAGAAACTTGCAGTTTCAATATCTTTCTTTAATTCACAGGAGTTAAAGAATCAGTGTGTGTGTGTGTGTGTGTGTGTGTGTGTGTGTGTGTTGAAGTGCAATTAGCTAGTAAAGTTGAATACCAAGCATATCAAGGTAAATCGCAAGTAGGAACATCAGATTTTAACATGATTAGCTTAAATGGTTTTATAATAACCCAGAGAAGAAAAACAGGGGAAGTGAATTTCCTCAACTACTATTTATAGATAACAGCAAAGGACCGCAACCCTTGTTATCTGATCTCTATCCCTTAGGATCTGACATGAAAATAAAAAGAAAAGGACCCTCTGCTAAACCAGTTTTTCAAAGTGGAGAAAATGTATTTCGATACTTCCTCTCATTTAGAAGAAAAGGTTTTCTCATTCACAAATTTAAAAAAAAAGCAAACCTCTAGGATTAAATAATTCATCAGAGCAAAGTTTGGCTTTCAATACATTTTAACTAAAAAGCACAGAGAAAACCACAGCAGCTCATAAAACCAGGGTAGCTGCAGACCTGACTGTAAGGTCAACTGTCTTCAACAGTGAAAATACTGACAAAGCAGACCTGAATGCAAACCACACGGGTTTCCATTTAATGTAGAACTGAAAATTTGTACCTTCAGCTGCTTTACCTCTTATAAGTGTTCTGTGACCTCACAACCACAGATGAATCAGACTGAAGGTTAACTAAGAAACCATTTTTTTCTGCTCAACATTCAGTCACAAGAGAAATCTGCAGATTTGGAATTATTTTGTATATATTCTGTACTGAAATTTTTTTAAAAACTGCAGTGGAGCACATGGCTGCAATAGAGGAGACACTGAAGACAGCTCTGTCAGAAACCCATTTCCTTACAAGCTACAATGCCATGGGCTCTGAAAAGTGCCTTCATGGTCTGTGCATGCTGGGGTGTTAGGAAAGCCGTCACATTTGTCAAGTCACCTTAATACAGCTTTTTAGAATGATGACAAGTGGCAGCTAGAGTTGAGAATTCCTTCCTCTTCAAAGAAATAGAGATTTTTAAATTTCAGTTTTCCATTTATGAGAAGAAAACTGAACATACCTCTACTATGGGCATCAAGTTTCAAGATTAGGCAATACCACCCATGTGGTATGTAGGGGCAGAAAACCGGGCATGGTGGCGCATGCCTTTAATCCCTGCAACTTGGGAGGCAGAGGCGGGCAGATCTCTGTGAGTCGAGACCAGCCTGGTCTACATAGAGAGTTCCAGGCCAGCTGGGGCTACAGGGAGACCTTGTCTCAAAAAAAACAAAAAAAGGAAGTAGGGACAGAAGTGAGATGTTTCTTACAAACTTTTGAAGAAAATGAGAGACAAGGGCTGTGCTAACACACTAACCTGAGCATAGCTGTACCTGTCTTATCACTGTTCCACAGAAAGACCCCTCTCCAAGGTTCTAGCAGAAAGCTGCAACTAGCTTTCAACGAACAAGAGGACTTTCTTACAAAATTATACATATATATAAAAAGGGAAACCACAACTTAAGGTCAGTGGGAATGTCCTTGTCCTCAAGAAGGTCCCTAGTCTGTTTTGCACTAGTCACCATTGGCTATTGAGTTTTTTTTCTGGAATGTCTCCAGCCTTAGCCCTGGGGGCAGCTGTAAGCAACAGAACAAACTGTATTCGCTGCTGGTTCATGTTAAAAATAGAATGTTTTTTAAAGACAGGACTTTGAGATGGTGAAGACTGTAGGTATAAAGGAAAGCAGTGTTTTGTAATCTCAAATCCAATGGTAACACCACCAACCCACCCACTCCCTCACCCTTCGATGCACAGTTGGTAACTGGGTATGGCCAATGCAACATTAATGTAATTTTGGCACTCAGCACCATAAAACATACAAATAACCAATGGTTACAAGTTACTACAAAAGCCGAACTCTCCCCCGACTCCAAATTAGACTTTCAATAAGTTTCACTATTTTTCCTGACTATTTAAAAACAAACTACAATTCAAGCATTCCAGCACAAAGAAATGGAGCAGGGCAGTGGCTTCTCAGCATTTTACGTGTTGAACGGGATTTTCCATATTATGAATTTAGCTAAAATGTTGTTAGCAACTAGAACTATAGGCACAAAGAAAACCTGAAGGAGGGAGAGGCCCACTTGAAGCCAGCTGGGTTGCAAAGGCAGATGTCCAGGGAAGAACAGAAAAGCCTAAACTATGTGGCCTCAATGGCCTATTAATGCAAAGAGAGGGGAGTCAGATGCTGCTGCTCAACCAGGCTGCAGGCTCAGTGCAGTGCCTCGCCTCTCCTTGCCAGTCAGGGCAGCTAAAGGGTAGATGAGACTAGGCCATGGCAACTTGGGATGGAAACAGAAAACACAATCTTGCCCAGTTTCATACCCAACTTTACCCTCCCGGCATCAACACAAATGAAATAAAGAATATCAGACCCAAAACAAAAAGCAAGAATAGTCTGGGGTCTCCTAGTCTTGCACTTGTTTTGGGGCATGTAATGGAATGTGCTATGTGTGGGGTTTAGTAATGTGGGTGGTAGCGGTCACTAGCAGAGCAGACGGCAAAAAATTGCATAAAGGACAGCATTTGAGGAGTTTATGACCACAGGGAAAACGGCTGACAGCTACAGACGATTTCCACCTGGATATTCAATTATAAATGGAAAGAGTGGAAAAGAAGTCTTGAAATTTATCTTTTAAATTCAAATTTATCCGAAAGGGACATCCAAGTTTAAAAAGAAAGGAAAAAAATGTAAAGTCCAAATTATTCCTGTCTAATTCCCATTAGAAGACCCGCCCAATTTGTTCTGCTTTTCCCACTACACCTGGCAGAAACTAGCATGCCAGGTCAGACATCCGGAGAAGAAGCAATCAGTGCATTTCTGTTCATCAGCCAGGATGTGGATGTGGTCAAAAATAATGTGTGCCAGAGGCTGCTGCCTGCAAAAAGTACAGTTTGTTATATTGCTTACAATGCAGTATTTTATCCAGCCTCTTCCAGCCAAGGACCTGTAAACAGGAGTCTGTTCCAAAACCTTCCTCCTCTTCCAGTTGTCTGTGCAATGTATTGGCACTGTTCTGCTGGGCTGTCAAAAAAACTGGTTTAGAGATGCAGCTCTTCAGTCAGGTTCTGCGCCAGTTCTAACCATGTAACTTTAACTCCGATTTTCTTCCCCAATAATTAGAAAAGGGCGGCGGGGTAAGAGGGCCACAGAGTTCTCTGTAATAAGAGCTCACCATTAACAATCTGTGCTTAATGATCAGAACCAGGCCTAGGTAATGTATCTGTTGAGATCTCAGGCCCACTCCAAGTAGCCAAGTGTCCACATCCCCAAACCACTCTCAGAACAAAACTTGCACCAGACATTGGATTCACCGCTTCAGCAAAAAAGGAGACAAGCAAACAGGCAACTAGGACTAAAGTCCCATGTTAGAAATGGTTCCTCCCACTACGGGGGAGAACCAGGATCTAAGAACAGGTATTGGAGACAGCCACAAGGAAAAGGAAGGCAGGAAGAGGGTAAGAAGAAATGACATGTGGTGCAGTCTATACTCTCCTAGTTCTTTAAGCAAGTCTTTGGAATATTTCAACGATTCAAAATTCATGCATAAAACCAAACAAGCAGAACCTAACGCAAGGGAGTCGTCCTGGGCTACAGGCAAAAAAAGCAGGGCTGGGGAGCAGAAAGACGATCCCAGTATTCAAAGAATACACAGTGCGGAAGAACAAAGAGGGATGTGAGTTGCAATGAGAGAAGTTCCAGAAACACCTACTAGCCAAAGCTTATCATGCAGGGCAGGAAATGGCAGTCTAAGGGTGAGGCAGCTGAAGCCACAGTGCACTCTGGGAAACAGAAGGATGACCTGAGTAATTCTCAGTTCCTGTCACAATCCACATGAAGGTGAGCAAAGAGGATGGCAGCGTGGGCATCTGTGTGACAATCTGTTTACCAGCTAAAGAAATGAGCACACCCTGGGGGTACGCCATGCACACGGTCACACTGTCGAACGGCTAGAACTCATCTAGCGACACAGATTCAGAAATTTGACTTCCCACAGCACTGAAGTTTGAGGTTAACTGGCAAAATTTGAGTTGCTTTTAAAATCACTGTATTTAACTTTTCTGAATTTTGAACAGTACAACTAAAATATTAAGAACTGTGATGAGGCAACTTGAATGTAACCAAACTTTGTAAAAGAAAAATCATGCCACAGAAAGGAAAACAAAATAAAAACCTCCACCTTCTTTTACCTAATAAATGTAAGCTATTGTTACATCTAAGCTGTTGGAAATAATAATAAAGTTATCTTTGGAACAAAGTTCCAAAGTTCAATAGAAATACTTACTAAAAGAGAACACAGGCAACTAAACAAAGAAGTGAGGCAGGGAGCATTAGCTAGAACAAGCTTCGGTGACTTACCGGAGAACGGGTCTGAGGTTGTGAATTCATTGTCTGAGGGGCTTGAGGATAGACCAATGTGGTTGGACCTGCATTCTGTCCAGAGGGATAAGGGGTCTGTCAAAGAACGGCAAGAACATGATTTAAAAAAAAAAAAAAAATATGGCACAGCAACTCTCAAATTCAACATGTTTTTAGAAGAGCTTATTACAGAAATGTTTCTACTGTGGCTTACAGTTCCATTTTTCCCCCCCTTGGTCTTTTTGAGACAGGGTCTCCCTGTAACCCCAGCTGGCCTGGAACTTGCTATGTAGACCAGGCTGGCCTCAATCTCACAGAGATCTGCCTGCCTCTGCCTCACAAGTGCTGAGACTAAAGGCATGTGCCCCCCACATTCTGCTAGAGTTCTACTTTTTGTTTATTTGTTTGTTTGTTTTTGAGACAGGGTCTCCCTGTAGCCCCAGCTGTCCTGGAACTATGTAGACCAGGCTGGCCTTGAACTCATGGAGATCTGCCTGCCTCTGCCTCCCAAGTGCTGGGATTAAAGGTAGTTTTACTTTTTAAATTTCAACTTTATCTTAATATTCAACTTAGGACCAATGCAGATTTTAGAAATTTGTGTTAAACTCCTGATAGGAGGTACCAGCAACCCAAAAAGCTATGTATAAATATTTCAAATCAGGAGTGCAAAGAAGACCCAAACAACTTCAATTCTTGCGTGTGTATGTGCCTGGTGGCCATAGCTCAAACCCAAGTGTCAGCTCCAGGAGCCATTATACATCTTGCTTATAGAGACAGGGTCTCTCACTGGCCTGGTGTTCAATGGCTGTCTACCTGGCCAGCAAGCCCCAGGAATCCTGTCTACCCATTCTCAGTGATGGATTACAGGGGTACACCACAGCACCCCTTTTCTGTGGACTTTGGGAATCGACTCAGGTCCTCATGCTTGTGTGCCAAGTATCTTATGGAATGAGCTCTTTCTCCAGCCAATGTAACTTCATCAAATTCTGAAAAGGACAGTCCATGCCACAAACCAAACCAGACTGACTAAAAACCATGCGACCCACTGCTCATCAAGCTTTCCAAAGAACCTACAGGCAAAGGTGGCCTGGAAGATGACATCTCAAAACCACAATGACTAGCTCACAGTCTGTCTTCTTCTATCACTAAGACAAACCCCCTAATTCTTCACATGATCCCATAAAAATCGACAGTAAGAACTTTATGTAAGAGCACAGACTAAGTGTGAATAGAATACAGATCAGCTTACCATAAGCTTTCTGAAAACAAGAGCTGATTCCGATTAGGGTCCAGGTTAAACACCACAGGCTAATAACTGAGTTTAAAATGAAATGCTAACAACAGCAAGGGACACCGAATCACAGAACTTGAATTTGGGCTCTCACAGACATAACCAGGGCTCACACCTCCCCTTCAGAAGGAGGGCTTCCAGTGCCCTTAAGGAAAGGGCACCCACCTCACCCCAGCAGGCCTCAAACCAGCCCTCATTCCCTGGAGTCCATATTCTTTTTTTCCCCATGCCCCATTTAAAAAACAAAAAATGTTTTTAATGGAGCATAGTTTGAGAGTAGTTTATTTGAGAGCATAGAGTGGTTTATTTACAGAAGAGCGGGCACCCGGCATTTATGGCTGTGCCGTAAAGTCCACACTCAAATACAGATCCCTATGACCTCCCAACAGCCACACAAAATTTGAGGCAGGTGCCACTTGGTGTTCTTGGCTTGTATTTCCTTTGCCCCTCCCCCCACAGGCAGCTACAGTTGACTGATTGAGTGGGGGGTAACTGACTCCCCCTTGGACTCATTGATGAGAGTGGGAGGGAGATGGGACTGTAGCTTGTGGCACAGTGGTCGGAGGTGACACTTCCAGTTAATACTCCACCCTTTCCTCCAGCTCTTACATTCTTTCTGGCAGCCTCTCCTGCAGAAGTCCCTGAGCCTTGGAGGGGGTGGTGTAATCCACATTCTTATTCTTACCCATTTGGTTTATTTTACTTCTCCCCCTAAAGATGAAAATCATCTCCCTGTTGTATCCCCAGCCTAGAACACTGTGTGGCATGCAACAGTGAACCCCACCGTCAAGAAAGGAAAAAGCACACTAAACCTCACAAAGCAGCTGTTGATGGGAAGAGAAATTATGATGCAATCATCTTTATTTACCACTATGGTGATTCTACTAATGAGAAAGTCAAAGGCTAGAAATGTGTCCTACCTAAACAACTAACTAAATGATATATCTGGAAAAGGCTGCAATTTGTATTTAAAAAAAAACAAAAACTCTACAACTTTGTCAGGTGACCATTTAATGAAAGTTTAGCTGGGTTCTCCAATTTCAAAGGAACTATTTGAAATGATTCATCATAGTACTCAATCAATGAAAATAAAATGAACAGGTTTATATTTGGAGTGGAGGATGTTTAGTTATCCCTCACCATGGTAGTCTGCTGCACAGCCAGCTCTAGAGCTGGCAAAAAGCGGAATGTCACTTGGATTTCTTTTCTTACTATAATTCTATTAAATCTGGCCACAAATTGAATTCACAGGGCTGTTAGTACCTCACACCAAAATACTTGATAACTAGATAAAACTGAACAGAAAGAAAAGGAACCTTGCTTTTCATGGACCATGCTGAAAATATGCATGTCACTCACAGGAAACCTCGATCAAAATCTTAACAATGTCTTCAATCTGCATCAACAAGGCCACACACAGCCAATGGATGAACATGAAACAGTATTCAGAGAGAAAGCTTTCATTCAGCAAAAATGGCTTTCCTGAGCACACATCTTGCTGGAGGTGTGTAAATGTTGATCTCAATGTGTTTTTCAAAACCTCATCACTGCCTCCAAAATGACCACTAAAAATACCAAGAAGTTTACTTTCCTGTAGCTTAGACATCTACTCTAAACCTAACTTTAAAAAAGGCACAAATCCTTTCCATTTTTTGTATATTAACACTGTAGCATGGCAAGACCTAATTCATGTTCTGTGTACATGTTGGTGTCATCTAAATGTAAAATAAAGTGTGGTACAGGTGTACATACAAAGACAGAGAAATCTCCAGCACAGATACATAAACTGCTTTATCACAATGTACACCACTGTGCCCTTATCAACATGAGATGTTCATCCCTGGCGTTGGACAGTGAGAGTGAGCAGTCTCGCTAATTGCACACGTGAGTACAATCAGGAGAAGGTGTCTCCATAGCCTTTATATCTTTCCTAAATTAAGACATGATTCCTCAAGGTTCTTGATGAGCTTCTTTAACTTACTGTGTTTTGACCAAAAATAGTTCAAAAGCTTCAGTGGAAAAATTCTTTAAAAAAAAAAAAAATTTCTTTTCTTTTAAATTATGTGTATGTTGTGGGCATATGTATGTGTGAGCGCTAGTACCTGCAGAAGCCAGAAGACAGTGCCAGAGTCCCTGGAACTGGGATTACAGGCAGTTGTGAGGCACCTGGTAGGAATGCTGGGAACTGGCTTCAGGTCCTCTGCAAGAGCAGTACATGCTCTTTACTGCTGAGCCATCTCTTCAGCCCCAAAACTTTTTAAATTTTAAATTACATTTATTTTATTGTGTATGCACATGTGCACACCTGAGTACACTTGCACGTGCATGCCATTACATGCATGTGACTATCAGAAGCTGGTTCTCCACTCCCACCGTGTGGGTCCTGGTTTGATAAAAGTTCAGGTTGTCAGGCTTGGCAACAAATGCTTATACCCATTGAGCCATCTTGCCAGCTCCATTCTGTGACCTGGCTTTGTAACATCAAATGCCCCTAAAAGTAGTCATAAATCCATGATGGTCATCAGACGTTTGTTCTGTTTCCCTTTCCCTTTATGATTACTTTCAAAGCCACCATGGGCTGGTGCTGGGCTCAGTGGTGGAGCAATTGCCTAGCACACACAAGGCGCTGGGCTTGATACCTAGGCTCTATAAAGAAAAACCACCACATGTCAAAACCATCACACCGATTTACTTTTCCAAAGGCAGTACAGACATGAGTACTCTCTATAGATGCTCAAACCCAGTTCATTGTTCAAGATCCTATGAGTTACATTCTAACTTTCATTGCTTTTATGTCTCACTGAACCCTCCTGAATGCTTTTTATGCAATGGGAAAAACAACAGTAACAATGAAAACCAGCTAACTTCAGAACTTGATAAACTGTTAACAAAATGCAGGTTGAAGAAAAGTCAACCAGAGTACTACATATTTACATAATATTTAAGCCTAACAATTTTTGTTGTTGTTGTTTGTTTTAGTATTTTGGTCTTTTTGAGTCAGGGGCTCCTGGTAGCCTCAGCTGGCCTGGTAATCGCTATGTATACCAGGCTGACCTTGAACTCACAGAGGTCTGCCTGTCTCTGCCTCCCCAGTGCTGGGATTAAAGGTGTATGCCACCTTGCCCAGGCAGCCTAATAATTTTTATTTATTTATTTTTTGGTCTTTTTGAGACAGGGTTTCCCTGTAGCCACAGCTGGCCTGGAATTTACTATGTAGACCAGGCTGGCCTTGAACTCACAGAGATCCACCTGCCTCTGCCTCCCAAGTGCTGGGATTAAAGGTGTGCATCGCCACACCCAGCTTACGATTTTTAAACAGTCATTTCGACAAACAAAAATAAAAATATCAGAGTGAATTCCACTACAAGACAAAATAAGTTAACAAACCTTCAGATTAGTTATCAAAAGAAGTCCAGATACAGATACATGAAAAACAAAGATGCATCTTCAAATTTTAGAATGTAAAACAATGAACTTAAGCCAACAAAAATATTAATGATATAAAATATTTATATGTCTCTCCCTGTATTTCAGGTATTGTCTGTTCTAAGATTTTTAATACATCTCAGAGGTTAAATGTCATTTCTCTTGTTTTAAGACTATTTGTTCCCCTTAAATAAAAACTGTTGTATGGACTAAACTAACATAGTGTGTGAGCACTGCAAATACACACAAATATGGCTGAACAATTAAGCTGACAACTTTTCAAAGAGTTTCTAGAGTACCAAGTCTTCACTAAGCTATTCTCTTCCATCCTACAATTCCATTTTTAGGGATCTAGTCTGTGTCTAAATTCATGCTTTCT